CCGCAGACTTCATCCGATTAACGCGAGCTTCTATAATGCGGCGCGAAGCATCTTGCCAAATTGGCTACGGCTGGTTTAATTAAATCGGAATCAGCTGGCTGAGAGGGGAGAGGCGCGGTTGTAATGGACACGGAGGGTGTCCTCAGAGCGGGGCGGGAGAGAGGGAGAGGGAGGGTGTGGCGCGGGGTAACGAGATTTGCACACGACTACGGAAACGGGGCCAGATTTTTCCATAACCGGCCACCGCCGGCTGCGGGAATTTCCCGTCGCCCGATTTTAGCGAACGGCGCCAGCGGGGGAAGGTCGACGACGAGCCAGGTCAATCTCAGATGTGACATTGGCGCGATGCGAGCTGCTGCCCGTCGTGGATTTTTCGTTAATCCCGCCGCGGCTAAATGAGCCACCTCTGCAACGACGGTTTTCTCAAGCGCCCGATAGACGTGTCGCCCGATTTCGGAAATGACAATCTCCTTTGCATGCGATTGGAGCGTCGAGTCGATTTCAAATACGTAACTCTCTAATCTGAGAAGTCCTCTTACCATTCTCGAGAAAGGTGGGACTTTAAGAATCCCAATTTCAGCAGATGACGCCATGTAAACAAAGACAAGTATCAACTGCCATTGTTCTTCGTCCTTTGAACGGCAAGAATCTATTCTTAAGGGTGTATAGGAGCCAAGAGCAAACTCTGATTTGACTTTGGTAGCTTCGCGCGGCGAGAGCGCGAAGCACCGTTCTGTGTGTGTAGTTGTATGTCCACACTCACACGGACGCAACAGCTGCAAGTTAGCGCAGCTGGGTTACACTTTCTGTGATACCTGCAACTTGACATATTTTGTCTCTGCCACATTATATTTGCTCTTTTTTGGCATTTTTTTGCGTAAGTGACAAAGGTGCTGCAAAGAGCCCAATTTTGCATTTGAATACTTGAAAATTCATGATAAGTAAAAATATAGGCTTGCGCTACACCACGCGGCAAATGTTTATGCAAATAATTCATTCAGTTTTTTATTTCGATCTTTTTCCCAGAAAAACGCTCTGTAGCACTCTGCAGACATTTTTCCTGATAAAAAATGTCACAAATATAAAATAATTATCCATATCTTGATCAAAATACGTCAAATGCTTATTTCGCGTTAATTTTCTTCACGAAAAATCTCCACATGACCTCACAGATCCTTAAAAGACCACTTCGGACGTGAACGTGAAGGCGCTGTCAGGTCGAAATCACACTGAGTTTGAGCCAATCTTTGTGGCGCCATCTGTTGAAATTGAGACTCTTTTGGAGTCGTTTTTCTCGAGAACGGCAAAGGACTCAGATTAGGGAGTTACATATTCGACGTGTGCTTTAATCGTATGCGAACAAATTGTCATCAAGAGCCTGAAAATCAGATGAAACTTGGCTACTCTAACCTAACCTAACCTCCTCCCCGGTCTAACCTAAGTTTTTTTTCCCGAACGCCAACGCGAGCGCCTCGGCGTTCTCGACGACGAATTTTCTCCACGAAGAACGTGCACGGTCTACGACGCGTCCGCCCGCGACTTTCCAATTTTCGACATATCAAGCGGCCGCACCCGCCGCTCTCCCCCCCACCCCCACCCCCTTTCTCCACGGACAGGGTAAATTTCCGCCGTAGAAAGGGAGAAAAAGGAGAAACGAACGTTAACTCAAAATCCATGCCGAGGAGGGGGTGGTGCGCCCCTTTAAACCGTGCGCAATTTCGCAGTTCAATTGAGCGGAATCATTTAACTTTCAATCGCCGTGAGAAAGCTGAGGAGGTATTAATATCGCAACTTCGAAACAATGGCCATTCTTCTTACTTAGCGCGGACTCCACCACCTACACTGAGTAAGGCCAGCTCGGCCGGGAAAGCCGATAGTTCCGCGGTACACTACGGACACACGCTCTATGTTTATATTGTTTGCATTACTGTAAAATATACGTCGCTACGGCCACTAAATCTGCGAAAATTTACGCGCACCTAAGCGCGTTTACCCGTCGCGCCGTTACAACTCGGCCAACGCGATACGCCGGATTTGATACGGCGAACGAAGGTAACTGGCTTCGATTAATTTGCAAGAGAGACGATATTAACTCTGGAACGCTGAGAACATGGGCGAAATTTGTCCAAAGCAACTTTCCACTCTTAAAAAGCATGCATTACACTTTTTCATTATAACTTTTTTCAACTTCATCAAGTCGTGAAGTTATTAATAGATTCATATTCTTCAATGTTTTCTGAGCAGATTTAAAAAAAAAGACATTTAAGAATTTTAATTGTCTCTACGAAAGTTATGAGCAACTGAAAATTTATCCATATTCACGTGACTTTCTGATGTTTAGGGTTCTAGGATTAAGACACGTCTACAATGTGCGCAGAGCAAGCTTGACATAAGTTAGAGTAAAGCATAAAAATAATTTTTTCGCCTACCTCTACGCTTACGGCTTTCTTACACCGAAAGTACTTCTCTTACTTACAGAGAAAAAAAATAAACCTAAAAATTTACTTGCTTGTAAGGATATCAAGTTTGTTCACAGAAACAAATCTCATGTCCCGCGAATAAATCAAGTATTTTTTTCTCAGTGTAAGAGAAATACTCCGATGTAAGGAAATTGAAGTATAGATGTGAGCGAAATAAATAATTTTTACTTCTTGCTCCAACTTACGCCAAGCTTTACTCCGCGTATTACAGACGAGCCTTTATCGGGCACACTCGCGGAAAATTATTTGCCCCTCCGCGCGCGCGGTTAGAGAAGACTACCAACTACGAAGTTATCCGTTCGCTGTCGAGTCTTCAAACACCGCGCGCTACCCTGAGAGTCGAAATTTCGGTTCTACATTAACCCCGGAAATTCTGTCCAACTTGGAGGATCGATGGAGAATCTCGAGATATAACAGTTGCCTCACCTGAGGCAACTGTTGTCTTTTCGCGCTACAAGTGGTTAGTTATCGCACTTTTATGGAGCCTTTAAAAAGAAAAGGTTATTATTTGAAATTAATTTACCGAGCCGAGTCGAAATTTCAAATCTGCTATGAACCCCGGAAGTGTCGATGTTGATTGTACTAACCGACAGATTGACGTAACGAAGTCAGACAAAAAGATTTTGTTTAGCTTTGTCTATTTTAGAGTTGGTATCGTCAGACACTTTTCGTTGCTCGACATTTTTCTCACGCGAAGAAATATTATTTGAATTTTTACACGAGAATGTTATATATAGTAGAATTTAGAATTTAAATTCGAAATTTAATCGAATTTATCGTAATTTTACGTAACCGAGGAGTGAATTTTGCACCAATCCACCGTTTCGTATGTGCTGTTTGCATTTGAGGAGCTGAAATGCGCTGATAAAAATTTACTGTTCCTAGAAAAATTTATTATGCTTCTTAGCAAAATAGACCTTGCAAATAATCCACTCTGCAAATTCAAGAATGCTATTTTGCTGAATCTCTTTAATTTTTTATTGGTTTAAGTCACGTCACTTAATTAACTTGAATTATAATTTACGCGTCTTGAACGTGTTAAACGACGCGGATTTAAAATTGCAAAAAACATGTGAAAAGAACTTGAGCCAAATTACACGCTTATGCGTTTAAAAATGAGACACTTGAATTTGCAGTGTACTTCTGTGCGCTACCAGAAACATAATAAGGCAAAAAGAATTTATATGAAAAAGAAAAAATTAATATTCTTCCCGTGTAGGCGCTTACAATATTTTGCCTAAAATGTAATATAACGCTCGGTCGTGGAACAAAGTGTGCGACGCGCTAGAGTAACAAAACAGACGGCAAGAAATGTAAATTAACCCATTACCTCCTCCCGGTCGTCACTTGTCAATACACTGAGAGAAAAGACTGCACTGAGAGAAAAATGTATGATATTTGGAACTATAATGGCATAGTAAAAAGATTATAGTTAGGAATATCTTTTTTATAGTAAATGTCACCATAATGTTTGTAATATTTACAATATAAGCATAGTATAATATAACTGACTCATGTAAAACTTTTACCAAGAATTATAATTATTTTAAATAAAAAACATAGTAAGATAGCAAATATTAAATGGTAAGAGAAATTAACTATTTTATATAGTCAATACAATTGGAATATTTGGAAAATATGGGTACATATAACTATATTCTCAAAGCGTGCCTTACTATACACATAGAGTAATAAAATGGTGACTATAAATGTGTGTTCATTCTGCTATATCTTCGTTTTTGGATGAACTATAAATATATGTTTGAGGCCAAAACGAACTATAAAATATAGTGAGATTATAGTTATTCCAACTATTTTTTTCTCTCAGTGTGGTAACTATAACAAACTACATTTAGTTATAGAAATTCATTGAATCCTTAGTAACTAATATTAAATATGATAATAATTACCAAATATTTAATAGATCGGGAGTATGACGTAATTGCATTCACAGTAACATCAATTAAATAATTTAGTAATAGTTACTTAATGTTAAATATTTAATATGAAATATATTACAGTTATGAACAGATATTTGATAATTGTTATGAAATCTTTATATTCCATATAATAAAAAATTCAGTAGGTACGAGTTCTATTTTGTTACCAATATAAGTATGTTTTGTTGCAGCACAACGAAAAATTTATTCATTTGCAGCTATTACATCGTTTTAATATCTATTATTACAGATAGTTGGTTGAACCTATCAAAAATTTTGTAACTATTACAAAATCGCTTATTTTGCTCAACTATTCAATAAGTTTTATTTACCAAATATATTCTGGAAGCAAATAAATTTTACTTCTGTCAAATAAATAATTTATTTTACAGAACTAAATTAATTAATAAGTATTGCCATAGCTTTGGCCCGCTATATTTACGTCTATCATTTAGTAATAGTTACCAAATTTTGATAATATTTAAATTCTTCTCTCAGTGTAGGCCCGGGCGATCGCACAATCAAAACATTCGGAACCTTGAAAGTTAAATTCAACGTTGCTTCTTGTGGATTTTTTCAGGTGTTTCCATTCAGTCCCGAGCCGGCGAGTAACACGCACACACACCACGGACTACGTGCGTCGGTGCGTCATCTATTGCTCCTCTGAACAGTCAAAACATTTGGGATCTTCAAGACGATCAACTTTGCCTTTGTGTCTCGCGGACTATTCCGGGCGCTTCCATTCAGTTCCGAGCCGGAGAGAGACGCGTATACTATAGACTACGCGTGTCAGTGCGTTACTTATTGCTCCTCTCGGGTGATTAAACTATTCCGTCGGTACTCTGAGATACTTAATTAATCTCTCGTCTGCGTCGCGTTATTTAACACGTGCACCTTCGGTTGAATCATGTCTGCGCGAGTGTCAGTGTCAGTGCCGCGACGGAGCAGCCAGGATGTTGGTGCCAGGAGCCAGGGTAGAGGACGCAGGAGGCCGGGACGTGGTACATCATATAATTCCAAGGTAATCATTCATTAGACAAGATGTTTTCGTTTTTAATAGAGTCGCTCTAATCAGAGTTTGATCACAACCCGCGATTTCGTCAAAATCCTGCGGGAAAGAGAGACATATTTTCAATCTCTCTCTTTGCCTCTTTTCTTAACGTACACTGAGAAAAAAATTTCAAAAAAACGTTTGTTTGAATAGTACTGTGAAAATATTTGTTTAAATTAAGTAATTATTTTCTAAAATTAAATAAAGTTTTAAATATAAATTTGTTTCTTTTTTTTTAATTGAGAAAAAATTTACTAAATATTTCAAAAAACGTTTGTTTGGATAGTATGTAGCAGTGGATAGTAATTAAATAAAGTTTTAAATATAAATTTGTTTCTTTTTTTTTAATTGAGAAAAAATTTACTAAATATTTCAAAAAACGTTTGTTTGGATAGTATGTAGCAGTGGATAGTAATTAAATAAAGTTTTAAATATAAATTTGTTTCTTTTTTTTTAATTGAGAAAAAATTTACTAAATATTTCAAAAAACGTTTGTTTGGATAGTATGTAGCAGTGGATAGTAATTAAATAAAGTTTTAAATATAAATTTGTTTCTTTTTTTTTAATTGAGAAAAAATTTACTAAATATTTCAAAAAACGTTTGTTTGGATAGTATGTAGCAGTGGATAGTAATTAAATAAAGTTTTAAATATAAATTTGTTTCTTTTTTTTTAATTGAGAAAAAATTTACTAAATATTTCAAAAAACGTTTGTTTGGATAGTATGTAGCAGTGGATAGTAATTAAATAAAGTTTTAAATATAAATTTGTTTCTTTTTTTTTAATTGAGAAAAAATTTATTAAATATTTCAAAAAACGTTTGTTTGGATTAATTATTTCCTAAATTTAAATAAAATGTTAAATATAAATTTGTTTCTTTAATTTTAGAAAATAATTACTTAATTTAAACAAATATCTTCACAGTACTATCCAAACGTTTTTTGAAATTTAGTAAATTTTTTTTCTCAGTGTAGCCTAATCTACTGCCATAGGCGTACTGTGATTGGATATTGTGTGGAATTTGACGAGACATAGCGGACCAATCAAAAGTTATTCCTTTATGACCAAACTCTAATTAGAGTGACTCTAGTTTTTAACAAACGTTCGAAGAATTTACAGAGAATACATAAGTACCCGAGTCGAAATTTAGGCCGGCACTCGTAGTCCGTCATCATCTAGCAAGTAATAACAGCTTCATGAATCTTCAATTATTCGTAAAACTGCATCTTATTGACCAAATAGAAAAAGGATGCAGAATACGAAGCTACATTATGTCGATATCTGGCGTCCTCTTAACATGAAATCTAAATTTCGACTCGGGTTTGAATTTAGGCTCGGATTTAGTTATAAAATCGCCGACGGCAACGAAGGAGAGAAAGAGATATGTATACAAACTGCAGCTCGTTAAGGAAGCGAAAGAACGTCAATATGGCGTCCAATTATCGGCCTTGATATTTAAGACTCCTTCGTAAGCGAGTCGATGATGTTCGGGATTGACAGAAATTAAGGAGGCTTCACGCCTCTTAAAAGATACGATCAGGATCATAAACTGGATAAATACACGATAAACTGATGTATCCAGCAATTTGAACAATTGTTACTTGTTTTATAAATATTTCATAAATTTGTGTAAATTTATGACAAGTTTATCATAAATATCAAATTAATTTGAAATACATTCTGAATGCTAGTAAGTTTAGTATTTTAATCAAGAACATTAAATTAAAACAAAAATTCGATTTGCTTATTAGACATAGAGTCAAACCAACTTTTCTCGAGTGAAATTCTATAATATTCTTGTTAAGAGAATATTTTTGACATTTTTTAAACATTTCCTTGATTTTCTTTTTTTTTAACGCTCTGCATAGAGAAGATATTGCAGTAAAATTCCCGTTGAAATTATATTTCTTTTGACAATGTCTTTTGTAAAACTAGACTTCATTTATTTTTCCGTTTTTATTCAGTAAATGGTCCAGATTTTGCGCATTTTTTGTGCGCTGTAACTACGGAGAAAGCAGTATATCCTGATCGGGATCGCAACAGTTTCGCTCGTCAGTTGCTGAACAGAAGTTAATATAACTGTTCAGTAATTGTTCAAAAACTGCATGAAATTTCTACCGAGGAAAATACACACAGTAAAATAAAATAATAAATAATAATAACAATGAAACATATAAAATGGAGCAAATCTACACTGAGAGCAATTATTCGATAAAAATTTAACAAAGATATTTCTGATTAAAATATCGATAAATTTTTCATCAGGAAACGTTCGATCCGAGAAATATCAGTTCATAATTTTTTGATTGGTTTATCTGATGAAACACCATTATGATTTAAAGTATCCGATTAAATTTAACCGGGTATCCTAATCGAATGTAAAAGTGCATCAGTATTTTGACCGGAAATATCCGTTTGTTAATTTTTTATCGGATAACTTGCCTCAATGTATGAAAGTACGTCCGGAAGATCAGATCCGAAACGTCGGCTTGTCTGCGAAGTAGCGAAATATCAGAGAGCAATTGATGAAATGGACGTGCAAGCCGCGAATCGTCGTCTTAATTAATTAATCCGTATTCTCTCGCAATTAGCGAAATTACGTAAAGATCGGGTGGGCGAGGAGATACAGGACCTTTCGCGAGTCACGGCGAATGCTTTCAACCGCGACGGGCACGATGGTGCGTCGATCCTTTTCTGAAATTAATTAACAAAACAGCTGTAATCAGCGCCGCTCGGCAATTGGTCGGCGCGCGACGCGCTCTCGGCGAGTTTGTTTAAACAAACGGGCAGGTGCGAGCGTGTAGAGCGCGCGCGTGCGCAGATTATCGTAAAATCATCGCGCGAATGAAAATAGCGCTAATTAATGGCGATGCTGATTACGTGGCCCGCGGCGTGTTGTTATTAATGTGCATTTGCTAATGTACAAGTGAATGTTTTTGTCGTTTTGATTTTGTCGTGAGGATGTATCTTCCAGAGCGAGAGAGAGAGAGAGAGAAAAGGGGGGGGGGGGGGGAATT